GAAAGAGTTTATCATTTAGCAAAGGGGTTCTTTTACTCTGAACTGGATTCGCTTACATGCCTATGATTTGATGGACTCTTAACCAAAACAGGATGCTTTTAATTAGAATTGGTGGGCGAATAGGACAATTTACGTGTTTGCCTGTGTTCCATGAACCTCACATCTTTTAAGCAGACTAACTTCAGCATGGTCTCCTGATATGATGCAGGTAGAAGAACAAGCAAACCAAATTTTATAAGAGATGAGCAGAAAAGACCAAGTTTTTGTTTTTTAAAAGAATTATTTCATTTAACTTTAATTTTTTTTTATTTTGATTAGAAAAGGAACAGAGTGAGAGATAGAGAGAGAGAGAAAGAGAGAGAAGGGGAAAGTGAGAAAGCAAGCTACCAAGTCCAGGACTTGAACCACTGTTGGCCACATGGGAGTCCAGTGCCCTTAACTACCATACTACATGCCAGTCCTGAAAAGTGGAAGTTTTTTTTTTTTTCTTTTTTTTTTTGAGACCTTGAACATCATAACAATTACTATTATCCCATTGCCCAAAGAAAGTCACATGGACAGGGCAAATGTGGAAGGATAAAGATATAGAGAGGCTTGAAGAGATGAGGCTCTTCATGGGCTACACATGGGCAGAAATAAAGGGTAGGGAAATAAGTCAGAGTATTTATAAGAAAATTGTCTCTGTGAGGATGAAAATGCTGGAGCAGGGAAAGGTTGGGCCTTTGGAGAAATCATGACTTTTTTTGCATAGAAAAGCAGAGAGAAATGCATCACGACTTGAGATTGGAACAGCTATATAATAACAACTGGTTGACAAATAGTCCTAAGGAAGCACAAAGCCATGAGTTTAGTAAGTCTCTGTATCAGCGAGTTTTTCAGGTAATGTGTTATAGTTCTTGTCAATTTTTAGTGTTAACCCTTTTTAGTTTTTTGACATAAGGTGTGTGAACTCACTGGAAAGAAACAGAGACAGAGAGAGGAAAAGTAAGAAATCATCCCCCAGGGGAATAGCCACTCCACCACTCCTCCTCCATTATCATCATAGGATTTCGGACTCACATGCAGATGTGCTACGTGTGATTTTCAAACTGCCAGTCTAGGACTTGAACCACAGTTGGCCATGTGGGAATCCACATCTTTTTTTTTTTTTGGGAGAGATTTTCACTGTAGGGCGTGTGTGCTCGCCAGACAGACAGAGAGAGACATAGAGACAGAAAGCGAGAAATCACCCCCCAGGGGGGATGGTCACGCCACAATCCCTTCTCCTCCATTCTCCTCTCAGGATCTTGGGCACGCATGCACACGCGTCCGGCGTGAGTTTTAAGCCACCGGGTCCGGGACCCGAACCGTGGTCGACTACGTGGGAGTCCAGCGACATAGCCATTACGCTAACTGCTGGTTGCCGGAATCCACATCTTAACCACCATTCCACCTGCAGACCTGATAGTATTCTTTAAGAATTATCTATTTAATTATTATTATTATTAAATTTGCTATAGGGCACATGTACTCACCAGAAAGAGGAAAAGTGAGGAAGCAAGCTGCCAAATCTGGGACTTGAATTGTTTTTAACCGTGTGGGAGTCCAGTGCCTCTACCACCACATCACTTGCTGGCTCCTAAAGTTTGTTTTTGAACCCAAAGAGAGATACACAATTTCTAGAGATACTGCAATACAAGATCAATGCATGGAATAGATGGCGCAAACTCGTATCCTATCTCTATTTCTAAAACTCCATGTAATACATTGTCCTCGGATACAGGACATACCACATACTAAATTGATGAGAACAGTGATGTATCGCAAGTTTAATAACACAGCTGCATCACTAATTCCAATTTATTTTATTTTATTTTATTGGAGAGATATTTGCTATAGGGTGCATGCGCTCGTCAGATAGACAGAGAGACAGAAAGCAAGAAATCACACCCAAGGGGGGATGGTCATGCCACAGTCCTTTTTCCTCCATTCTCCTCTCGGGATCTTGGGCACTCACGCACACGTACCTGGCGTGAGTTTAAGCCACCGGGTCTGGGACTTGAACCGCTGTAGACTACGTGGGAGCCCAGCGACATAGCTATTACGTGAACTGCTGGTCCCTCTAATTCCAATTTCTAATGCCAAAAAGGATTAGGAAACAGACTGGAATTAGCTGAATTAAACTCAACATATCTCAGAGGAAAACAGACTGGACCATCGTGTCTTTTATGTTCCAAAGTCAGTGAGTATAGCTATATCTATATCATCTATGTCTATCTATCTATATGAATGCATAAGGGCAACTGTGCTTTTAGAAATGACTATGTAGGAGCCAGCAGATAAAGTAGGAGTTACGATGCTGGACTCCCACATGATTGACCCTGGTTTGAGTCCAGGACGCCATGGCTTGAAAATTATGCTAGACACATACATGCATGCCCAAGATCCTGGGAAGAGAATGGAGAAGAAGGGATTGTAGCATGGCCATTCGCCCCAGGGAGGGGATGCGATTTCTCACTTTCCCTCTCACTGTCTTGGTCTCTTGCACTCTTCTGCTAATACGTGTGCCCTAAGGCAAAAAACTCTTAAAAAAAAATAGAAAGAAGAAAAGAAATAATTCTGCCAACTCTTAACAGATAGTAATTACAAAACGTGTACAAAATATTAAAAAAGAAAGCACAACTACTTGAAAACACTAGAGAGGGACCAAAAGGAAAAGAAATCCAAAAAAGAATAAAATTGAGGGGAAAAAAAAAAAAAGCCAATGCAACAGCAGACTGAGTGAGCAAAGTCTTTCATAAAGAAGCCCCTTCAGGGACCAGCAGTTAGCGTAATGGCTATGTCGCTGGACTCCCACATAGTCGACCGCAGTTCGAGTCCCGGACCCAGTGGCTTACAATCATGCTGGGCGCGTGTGCGTGTGTGCCCAAGATCCCGAGAGGAGAATGGAGGAGAAGGGATTGCGGCATGGCCACCCCCCCTAGGGGGTGATTTCCTGCTTTCTGTCTCTCTCTCTCTGTCTGTCTGGCGAGCACACGCACCCTATAGCAAAAACCTCTCAAAAAAAAAAAAAAAAAAAGCCCCTTTATATGTAGTTTGAGAACAGGAAAAGCTAATTTATAGTGGAAAATAGTTAAAAGAGTGGCTGCTTCTAGTGAATGGTGAGTGTAAAGAGGCATGACAGGCTTCCTAGGGGGTGGTAACATTCCAAATTTCGATAGAAGTTTAGGATGCACAATGTATATGTGTGCTTGTGAAAACACAGCAAATAATGTTTTTATAATTGTCCATCTCATTTATGTAGATTTTACCTAAAAATAAATAATTAAGTACTTAATTCTGGCCAAGAATATGCATGCTGAAGTATATAGACTAAACTGAACTGATGGCTACAATTCTGAAATACATCACAAATAATAAAGTATCTAGGTAATATAAAAGTGTTCAGTGTGAAATGATTTTGACTTTCCTGTAAGTTTATAAACATTCTTTAAAAACATATAGATAAATGGAAAATGTACATATAATATACATTACATATGTATGTACAATATTATAATAAACATAACCTGCATCAGGTAGCAGTAAAAAAAATTAACTCACCTGTGCTTCTTTGGGTTTTCTCCCTAATTACTAACGCAGTCTGCAGTCTCCTGAAAAAATCACTACTGTCCCAGTGTTTGTGGGAGTACTCATACCTTGTAGACATGTGGTTGCCTTTGACATATTGGGGATGAGCTGGACCTGACCCTCAAATTCAGGAGAACTGCCATACTATTATTATTCTTGCTGTAACACGGGGTGCATAGTCTATGAAGTTCCAGTTAGAATCAATCTCAGCATTTTTGCTAAATAGCTGTAGAAGAGCTGCTTTCACTCAGCACGATAAGGATCAAAATGCCAGCAATTCTTCTCTTAAATGGAAGTAACCTGAAGTCAAAACTCTCTCACAGAGAGAGCCACAGAGAATTGGACTTGAGATCTTGAAAATACAGTGGTCTCTGGATCAAAATAACCTGAAGGGAGCATTGTGGCTATTGTCGTTTTATTTTTTATTTATTTATTTATTTTTTTTGCATTAAAAACCACAGAAAAATGTGCAACACTTTTCCAGTGACCAATACTTACACAAATTTTCTTATTGTTTTAAAGAAAATTTTAATTGTAGTTTTTGGTACTCTGTCACCAAAAGCATACTAATATAGGAAAAGCACATGCCTTGTATGTAATTAAAAACAAAACAAAACAAAAACAAAAACAAAAACAAAACTGCCATCTAAAAAGTAACATCTGGGGACCAAAAAAACTGCCATCTAAAAAGTAACATCTGGAGACCAGCAGATGGTGTCTGGTTACGTCGCTGGACTCCCATGTAGTTGATCACTGTTTGGGTCCTGGACCTGGCCGCTTAAAACTCACGCCAGGCGTGTGTGCATGTGTGCCTAAAATCTCAAGAGCAGAATGAAGGAGAAGGGATTGCATCATGCCATCCCCCTGGGGGGTGATTTCTCACTTTCTATCTCTCTGTCTCTCTGGCAAGCACGTATGCCCTATAGCAAAAATCTCTCTTAAAAAATTAAAATAAAAAAGTGACATCTGTCTTTTGAGTATTTCCATCTTCTTCTGTGTTTTCTCTTTCCCACCATGTCTCCTGGCTAAGCACACACCATGCTGTGTTGAGTAGAACTGGCATTTTAATTTCCACGTGCACGCCATCTTCTAAGTTTTCCTTCTTCACTTTTTTCCTTCTTTTACTTCTTCTCTTACCACCTACTTCTTTGGATATTCCAAAGTACTAATAGTGCCAGATACACTCAACGATCTAAGACATGTTACATAAAATATATCTTTCTTCTGTTATGTATTAGAACAGAGTTACATGTGCTCCTGGGTCTCACAAATATATTACAGAAACACATTGTAGTTTTAACTTCTAGAAATCTGTCTACTTAGGACTCGGCATGAGTCCATGGGGTTTGAATTTACAGAAAAATACAAAAACAGGCATTCCATTCCATACAAAGTCCCTTCTCCCTGTTTAGGACTTTAGAATTCATAGGAACTTGTCACAGTGGACTTTTCTTTCTTTGGCTGAGTTATTCTGGGACACAGTCTTCAATAATTCGTGCAAATAGCATTCCATTTAGTCAGATATACCCCGATATGGCTAAAGCACAGCTACTTACTTTCACCTGATCTGCAAACATAAGGATTTCATCATCTTTGAGGAGGAGGTAATACATTATGCTTAGTGTTTAATTACCCTGGATTTAGAGTCAGATTGCTTTGGTCTGAGTTTGAGGTCTGCCTCTTTGTAATTGGGTAACCTTGGGTGAATTTACTCATCTTGATAAGCTTTAGTTTTCCTCATTTCTATAATCTGCATTATCGAGTACAGTAGCCAATAGCCACATTGTCACTACTGAGCACTTTAAATGTGGTTGGTCCAAATTGAAATGTGTGTAAGTGCAAACTATTAGGTTGTTGGAAAAGTCATAACACATTTTTGCATAGAAAAATATACATGATGACTTTTCTGACAACCTGATTTCTACTTTGGGGAGATTTAATATAAGCAGTAATGTTGGGACCAGCAGATAGTGTAATGGCTACATCACTGGACTCCCATGTGGTCAACCATGATTCAAGTCCTGGACCCAGTGGCTTAAACTCATGCCAGGTGCATCAGGTGCATGTGCGTGCGTGCCCATGATCCCAAATGTCGGCGTCCGCCCCCAGACTTAGCGCTATTATGGAAGAAGCAGAAAAGATGAGACAAAAAGATAGAGTGGAAATGGACACAGGCAGCCTGAGCCTAGGTAGCCCAAGCAACCTGTGCCGCCCAGATGAACTGGACGTCTTTACTTATAGTACAAGGAGACATTACACATGTATGTTTCATGGATTAGTTGCCAGGTTACAGACAATAAGAAGCCGCTATCAAATCTATAAGGGATTAGTCACACCCAAGGCAAGGTGTATCCCTTGGTGGTAATCCCATCTAGAGTAAATCTCATCTTCCTTTCTAATGCAGAGAACTAGCTGTTAGGTGTGGGGAAGGATCTAAAGAACTTCTCCATAAGGAGTGCACCACCACACCCAGAGTAGGCTAAAGAACCTTTCAGATGCAGAGCAGGGATTGGATTTTACTATTTGGGGTCAAGATGTTTCTTGAAGTCCATCAGATGTGCCCCTAGTAATTTCCACCCTTGCTCTGTCTGCAGCCAAGGTCAGGGAAAGACAAGTTACAAGGTTCTGCCAAACCCCAAAAGAGCATGTGGTGTTTGTCACACCCAAACAAAGAATGGAGGAGAAGGGATTGCCGTGTGGCTATCCCCCTAACAGGTGATTTCTCACTTTCTGTCTTTCTCTTTCTGGCAAGCGCATACACCCTATAGCAAAAAACATCTCCAAAAAAAAAAGAAAGAATGTTAAATGTCTCGTTAGTATTATTATTATTAATATTAACTATATGTTGACATAATAATATTTTGGATATATTGGGTGAAATAAAATCTATCATTAACTTTAATTTCAGCTATTTTAATTTACTTGTTTCAATTATGGCTTCTAAAATTTTAAATTACATATGTGACTCACATTATAATTCTATTGGATAGTACTGTTAGTACTATTGACAATGTGGATAACAATTTTATATATATATATGTGTGTGTATATATATATAATAATGACACAAATTACTTGACAAAAATTTATGAAGTTATTAACAAAATTAATACATAGTAAAGACTTAAAAATAGTTGTCATTTTAAAAATAAACAATATGTATTCACAGTAAAAGTTAAGAAGTATATATGGGGGCCAGCAGGTGGTATGGTAGT